GGTCTAGGAAGCAGTAGATTTGGGTTTTACAGTGGTTAGTAGGTCAGAAAGGATGGATAATACAAGGACATTTGTTGTTGGACAGTGGAATATTGTCTGTGGAAATTGGACAGTGGAATATACATGCTGCATCATGTAAATATTCATCCCATGTAAACTTGTACTCTCAGTAATGTGGTTCTAGATATTTTTATTAGGAGTAATTAATCCTTTTACATATGGAGTGAATTCTTTGCCCAGTAACGTTCAGCAGTGGTCAGTTGTACATATGCTTTATTGCATATGTGAAATCTCTCAAGGAAAAACTAAACAACCATCCTGCTATGATGATGGGGTACTATTTTGGTTTATTTCAATGGTCAGGTATCACAACGTCTCCAGGTAACTTGTTCCTCAGTTTTTCCTTGTTCAGTCTAAACCTCTGTTGTTTCAAATTGTTCCGAGTCTGGCTCGATCATGTCATGGACCTTGCAGGGGGAGTGTCAGGCTGCTGTTGGGACCCTGTATGTACATCCAGGCAGTCTGCCATCCTAGAATTAAGTGTGCCCAACCTTGCTGTAGCTCCAGAGAGCAGAGAAGCTTGGGCACGTTGAGCAGCATGACCACAGCCAGATGTGAGCCAGTTTCTGAAGAAATTTCACTGCTAACATGCTGAAAATTGTCCCTGCATTCCTCCTCTATGGAATACAGTTTATCCTAAGTGATTTCCAGTCTGATGCAACTTCTCGGCTTATGGCAACTGAGTTTCTCTAACAGCCATTTCTAAAGGTTTTGTCAAAGAATTTCTGAAAGTCAACACTAATTACATGTACCAGTGTTCCTCACTGCTAATTTGACACACTTCAGGAATTCTAATAGAGCCCATCAGAGACATGACTTCCCCTTGCAGAAGCCATGCTGCTTTGTCACGATGATAATTTGCCTGGTTAAGTGTTCTGTAGCTCTGCCATGACAGAGATTTACCTTTTCACATAATTGTCCCAGTTCTGATACAGGACTTTCTTGTGTGTCTTGATAAGATTTTCTCTCCCCTCCTGTTTCTCTTTAAAAACAGACACCACATTGCCTGTGCTCCAGTCTTGTGAGGCAGGAGCTGTTTTTTTGTGATAGGTAATGTATTTTTGGTAGCAGCTCAGTCAAAGTGTTTATGAGTTCCTGGAGAGTTTTGGATGAGCGCCAGCCAGTACAGACAATGTGCTACAAACCAGAGTGATTTGGATGTTCCATGAGCAACATTTTTAGTCTCCTAAAAGGTTTTGTATGCTTCCTCCATGCTGAAGGGTTTGGTGGGATCTTCCACCCATCACCATGGAAGGAACTTGTAAGCAACCTTTCATTTCACTTCACTGCAGTGGCTGGCCTTTACCAGCAACTTTTTTGGCTCGGTTTCAATGGTGCTTTCCTTGCCCACAATAGTTCATGCCAGTTTCTGGAAACTTTTGTTTCATAGAGGCTTTTTCTGGCAGCATGGTGACCTATATGCAAACAAATGCACAGCATGTTCTTTTGAGCCAGAGAAAGGCTTGCTAAGACATTCCCTTTTCAGTTTGAAGAAATACGAAGTGTGTAGCAATGATTTCCATGAATAAGGTTCTGCAAACTCAGCATAATACTGAATTCAGCAAAAAATGATGCTGTTTGAATTAACACTGTGTAAAAGGCTTGCAGCCCAGCTTGCCTCAGAGTTCAGAGATAATACCAGATCCCTGGGTCTTTTTATTCCAAGGATAGAGGAAAAAAAAGAGTTGAATTCTTCTAATTTTCATGCTACTACATGCCAAAGTCCTACAGTGACCTTTTCTCTTTGCCCTCTAAACCCTTTCCCTGTGAAAATGAACAATATACTTCCCAGTGGAGGGTTTCACCATCTTGCACCTTTTCTGCAGGATAAAGCCCTCTTGGAGAGGAAACACCTCACGTCTGGAGGTCATGTGGTCAATGGCAGACCGTGGAAAAGGAAAAACTGTAAATCACTGGTGTTGAAATGAAAAGCTGATGAATGGTCCTGAGCCGTAGCCCAGCCCCAGTTTCCCTGTGCGCAATGCAGGGCTCTGGGTGCTTCCTAGAGCAGTCAGGGGCACGGTCAGGGGAAGTCTGTGGAAGGCTGAGGTCACAGCTGCCAGACAGGGCATCCATGTGGATTCTCAGTGGCTGTGGGAAGGTGAATGGCAAGGACCCACCTTCAGGAAGCCTCTGGAGTCACAGCAGTAGCCTTGGGAAAGTATGATGATGTGAGCAGTGGGGTGCAGGTCCTTCCTGGGAGCACAGGTGCCATTTACAGCCCCAGCGTCTCAGGACTGCACCACTCAGGTTTCCTAGCAGAGGAGACAGGCTTGCTTACCAGTGGGGAAATACACCATGGTATTTTCAGCACTTCACAGCACATGCAGCAATTTTTTTTAAAAAATACACTTGATGAGAGCTGTAGTTAAAAAGTGAGAAATTACTAATTAGTAACTAAGTAATTCGGGGTTTGATTCACACAAATTGCACTATTACTGTAAGAGAGGATTGCAATTTCAGGCTAGCTGGGGTTTGGTGGGTTTTTTCTAAAGCACTGAAAATATAATTGATGTGCTGTTCATTATCTGCCAGGTGTCGGGTTTCTTGTCCTTTTTTTCATCATCTGAGATATTACAGGCATAAGACATGCCTGGAAAATAAAGGGGGGAAAAAAACTTACTGCTTTCCCCTTTGCATTGTCATTTGCAACTCTCAGGTTTTCCCACTAGATTCTTCTTGTAAACTCTTTCATTTCATAGCACGCAAGAGTGACCACTTAGAACATCATTATAGTGCTATCGTTAGCATCAGAGTTTAGTTATACAGAAAGCTCTGAGTGAGATGAGCTAAGTGTCATTTTCTCTTTTACCTTGGTGGAGTGCTAATAGCATGATTGCTGTCAATTCTTCTCATTAGTCTCAATTTATACAGAGAATTTTATTTTTTTTAATTTCTAGTTAAGAAATCCAGCTGGTATAACTCACCCCCCCCCAAAGTGTCTCCCTCCCCTGCCTGCACGCAGATCAATTAGCAGCTATGTATCGTCTCTCTACGTGCTAAGTTGTTGAAGAGCTAATCTGTGTCCGTTGGTTGTGGGTTTTTTTCTGTTCATGTAAGCATTTCAGCTGAGTGCTCAAAAATGTAGCATGAGTCAGCATAAAGATTGAAAATGCCAGTAAAAGAGAATCTGTAAGCATTCCATTAAGACTTCCAGTAATATTACAGTTTTGCTCTGTTGGAAAAAATACCTATCCTGTATAGAGTCATCATAGCCACTGGCTTAAAAATACTCATAAAAAGGTGGGAAGATGAACACCATTGAGAAGTTTAGTCAATATAAGTAACAAGTGTGTCCTCTTATCCATTCTTGTCTAGATGATTAGTGTCTTTCAAATGGCACTGTAGGAAAATGGTAACCTAGTTTGAACTCACAGCAAGAGAAATAGTTTGAAGTCATGTTGTGTCTAGTGATGTGCCTGTGTATTGCACTAGCAGAGGAGAATGCTGCAACAATCCACATTAAAAAGTAGCAGAGGAGGACTTTTGCTTTTACTTGGTACAGTAGTCAGGTATTTACAGTGCAGCAGTACTCTACCAAAATACCATCATCTTACCCTTAGCCTTTGATGCCTCTGAATTTTACCTCTCAGAAGGCAGTTGGTGTTCTCAATAAGGAAAAATAATTCCTTTAAAATGCTGCAGGTTTGTGCACTTGCACAGCTCTCCCTTCAGCAGTAGGAAGAGTAATACATACCAATAATCCTTTTCCCCATGTAAGCCTGAAAACAAGTGGGTTTGGTTTGGGATATATAGTCTGTTCAGTAACAGGCTTTTACACCTTCCTACTCAGAGAAATTGAAATGGGAAAATAATGCAAAAAGGATTTGGTCTAATGCTGGGGAAGATGTTTTTAGTAAATTAATTACTTCAGTGTATCAAGTGCAAAGGGCGTTCATGCAGTGTGGGGTACTGGGGGGAGCTGTTTCCCTCCACCATCAGCACTGCAAATCCAGTCTCCATGTTCAGAGGCTTTGCCAGTTCTTCATGTGTCAGGAACTGCAGAACATCAGGCAGAGAATTTCCCTGACTCAGACAGTAGCAATGGGTGTGTAATGGGTGTCTGACATCATTCCAACCTCTGCTCTTCAGTCAGAAGAGCCTCAGCAGGAGTAGCCTCAGCACCCATGGGCTGCCTGGGGCTGCACATCCATTCAGGTGAAGGGATTTTTTGGGTCTGTGGGTCTGGAATTCGGGAAGATCTACTCTTCTGTAAATGGCATTAAGCCACTGATGAAGGCATGTTGCTTTAGCCATGCATGGAAACAGATTGCTTCTGGAGCTGCTAAATATCTTCCTCTCCCTCTTAAGGCTTAAAATTCTGATTGAGAAAGTAAGTTGCTGTAGTCAGTGGCTTGTCTTTGTCAGGTAGAGTTCCACCTTGACTTTTTCTTGAGCTGAGGTCTTCAGTGTGACTGTAGTGCTGCCTGTCTGCTGGAGAGCAGACCTAGGGGTTTGAGGGGTTTTTCCCTTTGATCTGAAAATATCAGAAGCAAGCACAAAGCCCTTTTTTTTACCATTAGAAAACCCAACAGTTACTCTAGCTTTTTTTTTTTCTAAAATCTTCTAAAATTTCCAATGTCCCCATGTTATTGCCATTACTAAACTGGAAATTGGAGATGCATAGTAGGTGGTTGAAGAAAAGCACCTTTCAATCTATCTAAACCCTACTTTGGTTTTGAGGGGGGAAGCTGGTGGGGCAAGTAGGTAATCCAAGCATGACAGGGTGAAATCCAGTGTCATCAAACCAGTATCAGTCATGGTGTCTTTCCCTAGGAACTTTCTTGGATTTAAGCATTAACGGGCTGCTTGGCTGTGGTCTTGAGGTATCCAGATATTGGGCTGAATCTCCCCATAGTGTACTCACCCAGGGACCGTGCTGCTCCTCACCACCTTGTTTGTGCTTTCTTCTCCCTTGTGCCCTGCAGGGTGTGAACGGCATGTCTGTGGATGAGAAGACTGACTCCCCCATGTATGTGTATGAGTCAACGGTGCACTGTACCAATATTCTCCTCTGCTTAAATGACCAGCGGAAGCAGGACATTCTCTGTGACGTGACGCTGATCGTGGAGGGGAAGGAGTTCCGCGCCCACCGGGCTGTGCTGGCTGCCTGCAGCGAGTACTTCTTGCAGGCCTTGGTTGGGCAGACGGAAAATGACCTGGTGGTCAGCCTGCCGGAAGAGGTACGGTATTGTCACCATGCCCCCAGCGTAACAGGGTGCCCCTTCCTCCCTCCTGGGGAGGAAAACCTCTGTGGTCTGCTGGGGTGCCCAAAGGGAGGGGGGCACAGGTGTCAGTGGCTGCCCCAGCACGGCTCAGGATGTCCTTTTCATGTTTGGCTGGGTTGCAAATCACTGAAGGATGGACATGTTCACACCATGCCAGCCTTACGATGGAGGCGAAGCTTTAGGATGCTTCAGCTCGCCTTTGTCACTGCTGCTGGAGGAATTGCACCCAAACATTTCATTACGTAGCCTCGTTCAGGCTAGTATTAGGACCCTTATATTCCTCTGCTCTTCTAGACAGGAAATTTGAAAGGAGTGATGTGACAGCTACATGGCAGGTTATTGTTGAAAAATCATTTGAGCTGTCATGTTGTTGGGAGTTTCATTGCTGTCCACCCCTCTCTGGCAGCTCATATCTTTATTCCACTTCTTTCCCCTTTCCTGCTCCTCATTCAGTCTGGCTTCCTCACAGCTCCCCTCATAAAGAGTTTGGGATTTAACCGTGTTTTCCCCCAAGAAACCATGAACTCAGTCTGTCAGAAAGCAGAGGTTTTGTCATGCAGCATAGCTCCCACAGCAGGAAACCCAGGGACGTAGAAAACACATACCTCACTGGAAAGTTTACTTTATTTTATCACAGAATCTCACTGGCTGGCTTCCACCCCCACTGTAATTTCCTCACAGCCGTAGAGCTGTGACAGCACAGCTACCGTAGGGCACACTGGTGGCTTTGCTGCCCACAGAGGGGAGGTGCATGCCTGATGGCAGCATCTCTGCTGCCTTGGCACTGCCTGCCCGGTGTCTCCAGCTGGGAAGGGTGGCATGAGGAGGGTGACAATGTACCCAGGACATTGTACTGCATAGCAGTCGCTCAGTGGGAAGGTGCTCTGGCATACGGATGGTTTTTCACCATCTTTTGCTTAACGCCCTTGAGGAGGCATGGTGTGTTTTTAAACGATAACAGGTCCCAAAATGTCACACATCATTTTTCCCCCTCTGGTTTAGTTCTCCAGAGACTTCAGCAGCGTTGTTATGTTGTCACAGCACAAGCTGGAGAGCATTAGAAGTAGGTCACTGGCTGTGACTTCATGAGTCCTGACACTGAGTATTACTCATGAAGACATTCAACCCAGACATTTTGCATAGGAGTTTAGAGGACCTGCTAGGATGCACACTTTGATTCTGCAGTGTCCACTAATAATTTCCAGTGGAAGAATCAAGTCTCAGTCAGTTGCTTGGCTTTCTTGCCACAAAGTAAGGGTAGGAGCAGAGAAGTGACAAAACATGCCCAAGGGTACAGAAGTGTGAAATTGCAGTGCTCTTCTATGAAGTCTTAATGAAACCTCTGTGTATAATTCAGATCCTGTTACATAAAGAAAAGTAATGACATTCAAATAAACATGTAGAAGAGTGACTGAGATGTTCAGAAGAATGAGCCTGGCCTAAAGGAGGAGAAGAAAGGACCATGGCAGGCTCATAGAGCTGGTGTGACAACTGAGATGTGCTGCAGCACATCTAGTTAGGCAGAGGAGCTGAAACAGCCGAGAGGAGGAATTTCTCTCTAATGCCAAAAGACACTATTGGCTCAAGCATTGATTGGTTTCAACCAGCTGTCAGTAAAAGTAGATTAGAAATTAGAAGATTTCTAATGCCAGCAGCAGTGAGATGCTGAGCTGCAGGCCAGTGGAGGGGTCATGATATGCTTGCACTTGGTCACCCAGTCCTATGTTAATATGACACTAAAGATTTAAAATACAAAGGTTTGTCTTTCTATGTGTTTTATATGAGATGCTGTCTAAGAAAAAAAATCCTCCAGTTCAACCATAAATCATTTCTATTTAAGTGAATCCTCTTCAAATAAATGAACTATTAGAGCTTTACATTTTAGAATGTATCTCAATGAAAGATCAAAACATTTTTGTGACTTAGGTTTACAGTGGCTGTTCTTATGGCTCCAGTGAAGCTCGTGGAGTTGCAGAAGTAGTGAACCTAGTTCTTAAGATTTTTCCAAGAACTTTGAAATTGTCATGCCTTACCCAAGGCAAACACTGCTACTTTGCTACATGCTTCTATTAGTAGCAAAAGAGCTACTAGAGCACAAGGGCTTTTACTTTCTCATCCTGGAAAAGAACTCTCTTGGCCTATTAAAAGAGATAATGACAGTTACCAATGTTTACTTGTACAAATATTTTCCACATGTAAATTAATTGCTATTAAACTCATTGAATCTTAGTTTTCTTATGGCTACTTTTCTGAAATAGCTGTGTGTGAGGTGGTCAGCTAAATCATTTCCTCACAAAAGCTAGTCACTTGGGATAAGGAGAGCAGCCTGATGCACCTCACTATTTCTCAGTTACTCCTTGGTTAAGATGCACATCCCTGCTTCTGGTGTTGCTCAGCTTCACAGCGCTGGGCGCTTTGGCAGGTGCCTGTGCAGAGACACGGGAAGTGCCTCCAACAGCATCAGAGCTCCCTGCAAGAGGAGCTGAAACACTCCTGCTTTTCAAAAGCTGATAAGGCAGAGGAAACACCATCTTAGTTATGTGGCATTTAAAGAAGTTAGCAGGGTCATCTTTGGTTCACAAGCTAAGGACGCTTCCCAAGGCTACTGTTTTCAGTCTGTGGTCTGCAGAACTCCAGCAGCAGTGAGTTATTTCTTAAGGTATCTGGGAAAACTGACTTATTATATCATGTAGGGGGTTATTCCTCCAGTGGAAAAATTTCAAACAAAAGCTGAATGTGAATATCCTGAAAAACTACTTTTCTATGCTTAGAGACAATTTATGTTGGTGTATAATATAGAAAAACAGATACTGAAAAGAATTTTTAAATGTAGTCTTCACTGTTCAGAACTTCTCCAAAGGAAACAATTGTTCATAAATTTACAGAGCTATTTTTAAGTCAGCCACACAAACACTGTATTTTAAATCTGAGCATAGTTTGAAAACTGCTGAAGTATGGTGGAGAAAGGGCATTGTTGTTACTATTATTTGTCAAAGGTTTGATGTTGGAGCTGGATAAAGCTTTATATATAAAGCTTTTATATTCATGTTATGTTGGTGTGAGGAAGCTTAACATCAAAGAAAAGAACTTATTTCTGATTATTCAAAGCAGTAAATCTGCCTCTGAAGTCTAAACTGCAGACTTTTTTTTACTTCATAGCATGTTGGGGTCATTTTGTTAATCTGGCATCCAGACATTGTTAACTGTTGTCTAGCTAAACAGGGAACAGATGTTTTTCACATTATTTCTTGTTTATATCCAGTTACAAGTAAGAGCAGTCTTTACAATACACCAGTCATTTCAGTAGGGAGACATTGTGCACACACAGAATTGGGCTAGTTGGATTTAGAGGGTTTTAAACCACTGCAAAACCTTGTGTTAGACATTTCAGGTTAGTTCAAGCATGTCTTAACAGGCCTCAGTTCAAACCTTTCCTTAATCAACTTAAACAAAGTCAGTATGGAGCTAATTCTGCACTGATTGAAGAGTTTCCATAAATCCTTTTGTGCTGGCCTTGGTAATTTGATTTTGTACCACACCTTTTGTTAAGGCAACATATTTCAGTGTGTAGACAAGCTGCCCTGAACAGCTGCATAATAGCAAGAGCTCAGATGTGGCCATGGTGTGTGAATTATCAGCCCTCAGAGCAAGTTAGAGAAATGGAGTTTTTCAGCTGCCTACAGCTAATAAAAGAGGGCCCCATTAGCTCTTAACTTCTATGCTTTTTTCTTCATTTTCAGTTTTGCCAAACAACTGGAACCTTGCCTGCTTTTATCCAGGGTGTTTTTCAGCAATTAATGCAGTTTTCCTCTAGCAGGTGCTGTTAAAAGCAACCCAGAATTAATACTTTCAAAGAACTGAGTTTGAAGCTGTAAAGTTGGTTATTCACTCCATACCCCTAACTGTTGTTTTGTTTTATTTAATCACAAAAACTGGTCTTCCTTCCTCTAACAAGGCACTTAATTAAGTTTTTAATTTATGATAAGAAGTTAAATGGCACTTACAAGGTTTTTTTAATGGTTTCCACTTCCCATCCAGATTACAAAAAAAGGTGTGATGGAGAGAGACACGGCTGTCAGCCAGGGGTATTGTAGGTCATGCCAATATTAGCTGGCAGCAGGCCTTTATCCAATTAACATTGCTTCATCACTGCAAGTAATAGCTCTCGAGTAGATGATTGAGTCATTCATGCTGTAGTGGTACTCAACTTTACTTGAGAAGGAGCCAGTGCTTCATCAAATGGGCTTTTTATCTGCTATTATTACCTGCCTAACTCTGCTAATGGAAGTGCACAGCAAGTCTGGATGGGCAGGGTGGAAGCTGGGCACTGGATAAGGGAGCGTCTTCTGTGCAAACACTGAATTCACTTCTGCAAGCTGTGGGTGCAGTTAAATGGTGAAAAGACAGAAGTAGAAACAGCAACAAGTAAAAGTCCCCAGTGGCATTTGATTCCTACAGGTTAGAAATATTCTCAACGTTGCTTGCATTTTTTTGATTTGGGAAATTACACTTGAAAGAAATTTTCACCATCCATGAGAGCACCAAATGTCTTCCTCTCAGATGAAGGAAAAAAAGCCTAAACAAAGGTTTTCTGAAGCAGCAGACCAAGCTTTCTTTAGCACTGGTCTGATACCAGCCTTTGTGTTCTTTTAGAAACTTGCTTCCCCGGTAGGTTGGTTAGTTTTACCTGTAGCCCTCAAATTTCTTGAGTCTGTTTCAGAGTGGTGACCTTTTTTAGTGCAATGAGCTGTCTGCTGGGAATGTTTTCTTACAAAAGGATTAAACTGAGCTATCTGTGGTGTCCAAGTCTTCCAAGGTGCAAAAGGAAGTAGCATCTCTGTTAGGATGAGGTTGTGGGATTTGTCCACACAGCTCTTTCCTTTGCTGTTAAGAGAATGATGTTCAAAATAGATGTAAATTCCTGAATTCCTCCACATTCTCTCTCCTTCATTGGT